CCACCACACCCAGCTAGGTTTTTTGTTTGTTTGTTAGAGACAGGGTTTTGCAATGTTACCCAGGGTGGTCTCGAACTCCTGAGCTCAAGCGAGCCACCCGCTTCGACCTCCCAAAGTGCTAGAATTACAGGCATGAGCCACAGCCCCCAGCCTTTGCCCTCTTTTTTTTTTTTTTTTTTTTTTTTTGAGACGGAGTCTTGCTCTGTCTCCCAAGCTGGAGTGCGTGGTGCCATCTCGGCTCACTGCAACTTCTGCCTCCCAGGTTCAAGTGATTTTCTTGCCTCAGCCTCCCATGTAGCTGAGATTACAGGCACGCACCACCATACCCAGTTAATTTTTTGTATTTTTAGTAGAGGTGGGGTTTCACCACGTTGGCCAAGCTGGTTGCAAACTCCCGACCTCAAGCGATCTGCCTGCCTCTGCCTCCCAAAGTGCTAGGATTACAGACGTGAGCTACGGTGCCCGGCCCTTTTTCCCTTTTTAAAATGTGGTTACTAGAAAATTTAATACTACATATGTGGCTCGCATTGTATTTCTGTTGGGAAGCACCGCTCTAGACGTTATTACCAATACAGTACTTGTGTATTACAGCACTCGTGTATCACAGTATTAGTTATTACAATACTGTCTTTGCGATCCCTACACACGGGGCTGGCTTCAGGGGTGTGGGCAGTGCAGTCGCACAGGGCCCCACGTTCCGAAGGGCCTCGCCCTTGGTTTAACGCTCTGCTCTCATTGCCTTGAAACCCTTACTTTTACCTTTGAATTTGAGTTTTCTAAGCGAAGTCTCACAGGACGATGGAGACTGCGCCAGGACCTTGAAGGCTCGGCTCAAGCCCGCCCCGCCTCCCTCCCTCCTAGGGATGGCTCCCAGTGTCTCTGGCCGGGGCCTGCCTCTCGCTCGCCGCTCCTGCCCCGCAACGGCTGCCATTTTCCCCCCAGGCAAGGTCCTGGGCGCGGCTCTGGGGAGGGTCAGGGTGCGCGTCCCGCCGTGTCGTGGGGCGGGGTATGGTGATGGCCACGCATCCCTTCCCCGGGCTTCCCCGGCCCACCTGGATCTAGGGACTGAGCGCGACTGACGCCGCAGAGGTCGCAATACCGCTGGGGGCTGCCTGGTGCCATGGGGTTGGGCCGCGGGCCCACGGGGAGAGACACCTGGCCTGACTTCTGCAGGCCTCTCCCCGCCAGGGAGCGCACGGCAGCGGTGCCCAGGGGCTGGAGGCAGCGGAACACACGCGCCCGGTGTCGCTGAGGGCCTGCGCCGGCCCCAGAGTATCCGCGTGCCCGAGGGAGCGCGCCCGCCTCTGGCTCCTAGCTTGGGGGAGGGGTGGCGTGGGGGAGGGAGGATCCTCTTTCCCTGCTTCCAACCTTCCTGAGTCTTTGTTGTGCTGTTTGTGTCTTCTGGCTAGTCAGAGCAGCCTCTGGGGACAAGCCGTAACATACGAATTGGGTAACTCGGTGATTCCACATTGCACAATATGAAGATAAATGGTAAAATTCGTGGTAATAATTTAAAATAGTATTTTTTCTTTGTTTAGAAATTTTCATAAGTAGCATATAAAAAGCACAAAAAGTCCGGAGAGAGAAGGCTAGAATCTAGGTAAAAGCTTTTACTTGCTTTTGAATAAGGCATCCTCATTTTGCACTGGGCCCACAAATTATGTAGCCAGTCCTGCTTCCATAATCTAAATTTCAAGCACTCTAGGCTCTGACCACTACTTTTCGGTTATCCAGAACCACAAGTCCAGCAACCCTTTGATTCCAATACGATCTACAATTAATTGATCTTACCACCTTTTCTCTGGATGTGTGTGTGTGTGTGTGTGTATCTCCTGGCTTCCCTCCTTTCCGGCTTAAATTTCATTGTCCACTATTATGGTCATTCCTGTGGATATACCCTGAACTCCCTTGCCCCGTCTCCGTTCACAATACCCATCTGGCCCACTCTAGTAAAGCCCAACTCTCTGCTCTGTGCGGTCTCTCAGGCTCCACTAGGCAGCCCTGGGTGCCTCACTCTGCAGTCTCCAAAGAGCAACAAGAGGGGAAGCCCTGGTGTGCAAGAGCTCTTCATACGTCTGCTTTAAAGTCATACTCCCCAAGTTCCATTGGCCGGCACAAGTCACAGGGCCAAGCTCAGCCTCAAAGGGTGGACAAATAGATTCCACTCTTGATGAAAGCAGCTACAGAGTTACATTGTTAAGATGCTCATGTACATAGATGGAGAAAATTTGTGGCAATTTTTTCAATCTACCACAGACTTTAAAAGGAAAGAAAGTATATCTTAATCTTTCTCCTCCCGGGAGGTATGTTAGTTTCTGCAAATCTGACTACTGTCTCCAGGAACCTCAGTTATTGAGATAATAGGAAGGAGAGGGACAACTTTGTCAAATCATTAGATTCTCCAGAATTATGATGGTCTGGTTACCATACATAAGGTGACTACTGCTTAAAAAACTTTTTTTTTTTTAAGACAGTGTCTCAGTCTGTTGCCCAGCTGGAGGGATTACAGCTCAATGCAGCCTTGCCCTCCAGGGCTCAGGTGACCCTCTCACCTTGACCTCTTGAGTAGCTGGGACTACAGGTGCTTACCACCACACCCAGCTAGGTTTTTTGTTTGTTTGTTTGTTTGTAGAGACAGGGTTTTGCCATTTTGCCTAGGCTGATCCTCGAACTCGTGGGCTCAAGCTATCTGCCCGCCTCAGTCTCCCAAAGTGTTGGGATTACAGGCATGAGCCACCATGCCTGGCCCCCACAAAAAATCTTTTAAACATCTATTGAGTACAATATTTTGCATGGATTATAAAATACTTGCTCCCCATGACATTATATTATCATTGAGGAAATAGAAACAAAGTAGTTAAAATATATGCATGAAGTCACACAAGTAGGAAGTGGCAGAATCCAGATTTGAATACAGGTCTGTTTCAAGCCAGAGCATGCAACCACTATGCTATGTTATCTCCTAATGCAGTTTGTTTCTAAAATAAGGCTTGCTTCATGTGGCATAAACGTGGTGATAAATACAGATGGTTCCTGACTTATGATAGTTTGACCTGGGATTTTTCCACTTTATAATAGTACAAAAGCAGTACACATTCAGTAGAAACTGTACTTCAGGTTTTAAGTTCTGCTCTTTTCCCAGGCTATGGTACTGGCATATGTGGTAGGATACTCTCCCATGCTGGGCAGCACCAGCAAGCCGCAGCTCCCAGGCAGCCACTTGATCATGAGGGTAGACACCTGATACTCTACAGTGGACTGTGTTGCCAGATGATTGTGCGCAACTGTAGGCTAATGTCAGTATTCTGAGCATGGTTAAGGTAGGCTAGGCTAAGCTGTGATGTTCAGTAGGTTAGGTGTATTCAATGCATTTTCAACTTGCATATTTTCAACTTTACAATGGGTTTATTGAAACATAGCCCCATCCTAAGTTGAGAAACATTTGTACTGTTTTTCAAAAAATTTTCATTCTATAACTTTATTACATGTCAACTACATATCCAGTTAACTTCTTTAGTGAAACATGATGAAATTATTTGTACATATTATATCCCAAGGAGTCAGAGACAGAGACATAACATATAATAGCATAGTAATGTTAGACCCCATACTAGATGGTGAGCTAGATTGTAAAAGTCATAATTTGTATATCATCATTTAATGT